TATATGATAGAGAGGTAGGGAGAGGGAGACAGAGAAACATGGATGTGAGGATGAAACATCTATGGGATGCCTCCTGCACACACCCTACTGGGGACTGAGCCGGCAACCCTGGCATGTGCCCTGACAGGGAATCAACCAGCAACCTTTTGGTGCATGGGACGGCGCCCAACCAACTGAGCCACACCATCCAGGGCAAGGGGGTTATATTCTGATCCATCCAGAAGACTTCCTGGAAATATATTTTAGCTGAATGTTGAATGGATAAGAAATGGCCAGGTAAACAGAAGAGCAGACATACTCCACGCATATGAATGGTTTGTGCAAGAGTTCCAAGATGGGAGTGAAAAAGAAAGTGGGGAACCTATGTCTCCATGGTCAGATACGCAATTGTGAATTCTTGCAATCAGGTATTTTCCTTGTTTCTTCTCCCAGGAGGTTCTGGGAAAAGCCTCACCTTTAGATTTATGCTTTCATCAAAAAGCACAATGTCAGGGATAGAAAAAATGTTCTTCCATAGCCTCTGAAATTGCTGTAAGAAGGCTCCAGAGAAATTAGTGACTCATCCACAAAATAAGTCTAATATGTTTCCAAGTCAGTATTTGTTCATGAACTGCATTTTAAGAATAACCCAGCCTTTGGTCCACAATCTCCTGGGGCTCCCCTTAATTTTTCTAAACTTCCTCCTTCCTACTGATAATAAAGCCCAAAGCTACCGTGTGGGATTAATGCTTTTAACCTGTGTTTGTCAGCACAAATCAAAGAAAGCAGCAGCTCTGCTGGGCAGAAGTGGTCATCATGTTACCTTGCTCGGTGTAGCAAAGGGTGGAGCTATTCATTCATTGCTCGGGACTCACAATTGCTAACTTCCCAGTTTGACATTTCCTAGGTAGAAATGTGTAAGGCAAAGTGACTTGAAGAATGTGTGAATTCTTTGTAACTCTTTTGTTCTTCTGTTGGCTAAAGAGAAAGCAAAGCCTTTTCTAAAATGCAAAGGACATTCTAGCACAAATGTCAGCTGCAGTGATTGATGCTGACTTCCTGGGTTTCCTGGCATATTCCTGCTTTCCAAGGTCAGTCCTGCTTTCCCAACTCGGTCATACCTGTGTTCTGTTAACTCAGGGGTCTCAAACTTTAGCTTGCACTAGAATCACATGGAGAGCTTGTTAAACAGCAGATTTCTGGGTCCCACCCACAGAGTTTCTGATTCAGGAGGCTGCTGGTCTGGGGGCCCCTGTCATCTACATAGCTCTAGAGGTCAAGCTCCTTTGTTTGCTACTCTCTCCTTGCTGCTCATTAGGAAAATTGTGTCTACCTGGCTTGCTTCGGGCATTACACACCTGCCTCTGTTATTTTGGGGTCCTGTCATTTGTGGTCCTTCATTATTGCTGAACATGTTAGTGATGCTGGAGCCCCTCTCACCAGCATCTCTCTGATGGCCTTTCCTGATAGGGCCTTGGTTACTGGTATGTCGTCTATGCTTTTCTGTGGAACATAATCCTTTGGTTGCTTTTCAGGCCTCACATAATTTATATCCACTCCAGCCTATCACATCCCTGAGCCTTTGAATTCTTTCTTCCTCAACCTGCCAAGGAAATTCTGGCATTCCAACTTTGTTTAGTATGGGCCATTGCTTTTTCCCATGTTTCTGGAAATCATCCTAGTAACGAGGTGACACCATCTCCTGAGGGTCTTGCCAAGGTATATCCCTGGAGAGTGTTCCCCAATTAATACACTCTCCCTTGTCCAATGACATGTTCCAGCCTCTCTCGGTCATGCGGCCTCAGAATCCAGTCGCCCTGCTACTGCCCTGGCACCGGCCTGTGTGTTGGCTGGGCCCTACGGCTCCTTTGGCACAGAGTCCCCTTTCCCCTTTATCAGGCCTAGCACGTCCTGCAGTCATTATGCTGTGACTTAATCCTACTCGTGGGCCTAGAAACCCGCAGGAGAAGTCGGGGGAGATCTTGAGTGGGGCACATGCTGTCTCCAAGGAGGGAAACTGCAGTGATTACAGCAAGAGGGTAGTGCTATCGC